GGACGATGGTATTGTGGCTTGTGGGTGTCATGTAGTTGGGGCGCTCGTCCAGCAGAACACATCACTTGACATTGTTCAACACTCTGGATCAACTTTTGCAGGAAAATGATGTGGCCGATGTGCGATTCAGACAGAGTTGGTTCCAACATATGAAGGCGGGTTGCAAAAGTAGCTTTTCAATACGCTCCTGTTCCACCCCGCAAGTACTGGACGAAATAACAACGACCCTACAGTTTCCCTTTCCACAAGCGAAAAGCCCAGCAATCAAATCATCTCTTTTGCATACTCCACCGTTTAGATCAATGAATAAAATGGGCACAGTACTGCGACTCGACATGTCTTGCAACACCCCAGTGGCTTAATCGATCATTAGTTTCATCGTCTTTTTCGTAGAGAGGTCGTAGTGCTCTGGAAGTTTGCCTCGGCGGGAAGTACATGCCAATGCAGCCATGAGAGACTTCACCTGAGTGCACACCGTGATGGCCCCGCGTCTGCTTGGGTGTGTCGTGTACGCGTTTGAGCGCGCTGCGACGATACCGTGAGCGCTTCAAGAAAAACGAGATGCCGCATAATGATGTGACACGGGCCGCCCTTCCGAATCCAAACGCAATGCTCCATGTCTTCTGAACTGCTCGTGTGTCGTTCATGATCCGCCCGTACGACTTGACCGGCGTGCCTATGAGTGTACACACGTTCCTGTTGGGGATGCATCTCACGATGTCGACGAATCGATCGTGTGTACGTGCTGCACAAGGATTGTCCTGAAATGCGCAAAAGCCCACCTGGTGACGCCATCGCGGGCCGCGCGGGCAGAGCTGCCGTCACGGGCTCTGATGGAGAGAGTGTGCGCGCGCGAGTGTGCAGAGGTGGCGAGGGCGCATGTGTCCTGAAAGGAGCCATCGTGGGGTCATCATGGGGATCCCTTCGGGCGCAGCCTTCATGCCCTGGTGCGCCGTCTGGGAGCGCTCTTCGATGTTCTGGATGCCCTTGTTGGTCCGTTGTTTTGATACGGTCCTCCTGACTGCGTTAGGTCCCTTGGCTGGGCCCAGCGGGAGCGACCAGGAAACCCAGAGGGCCGAAGGGACCCTTTGTAGGACACTCGTTCGGGCTCCTCGGAGCAAGGATCCTCGGGGTAAGCTCCTTGGGGCGCGGAGGTCTGCCGCCCCGCGGGAGTCTTGAAAGCATGAGCGCTGGAATCTGTATTCTATGTATGTTCGTATGTAGATAGGTAGGTAGGTATGTATGTGTGTTATACACATAGCGCATATTATTATTACTCGTACTATTATTATTTTTATTATTATTATGATTATTATTATTATTACTATTATGATTATTATGATTATGATTATGATTATTATTATTGTTATTACTATTATAATTATATATGTGTATATATATATACAAGACTGCAGTGGCGCTTCGCGCCATGCACCTTGGTCCTCGAAGTTTGGTGTGCAGGCGGCACAGCAGGAAGGCCAAGCCGACAATCTAGCGATAACTCCTTGTTGCCTTTTCCGGCATCGCCGCGATGATAATGTCATTCGTTATCCTTCCTCCACGCTTCTTTTTCTTCATCTTCGCCATACCCTGCGCAGTCTCCCCATTCTCCTCAGCTCTTTTTTGCGGAGGCTCCTCCTGGGAGAGCCTCTGGGGGCCTCACGAGAGTCGTTTCAGGCTTTCTTGAAGCCTTCTGGAGGCCTCCTGGGCGTATTCTGGGGGCCTCTGGGGGCTTCCTCGGGCCACCCTGCCTCGAACCGCGGTTTCCCTGAACGACCGGGTCACGATTTGGAATGCTTCGGAGAGTGCCTTGGGGCCATCTTGGGCCGCCATGGGGCTCTCTGAGGGCCATCTTGGACCCGTGTTGTGCCGTTTTGGGGCTCTCTTGGACTGCCTGAAGCCCTTTCGGATTGTTGCGGGGCGATTTTGGAGCCTCCCAGGCGGCTTGGGACGCCCAGAAGACCGCCGTCTTGGAGCGTCGGGAAGCCGAAAAGAGGAGAACCCCCAAATTCACCAAAAACCAACAGAAAATCAATGATTTGTGCCTTTGGGGGCTTTTTGGGGAGTGCTCTTGGAGGCCTCTTTGGGGCCGTCCTGGAGGCCTCTTGGACCATCTTGAGGTCACGTCGGTCACTCTTGGAGCGCTCTCGTGCTGTCTTGGGGGTCTCTTAGACGTCTCCGATGACCCCCCTGATCGCCCTAGGTGTGCTGGGAAGGGTTGGCAAAACGCCCTGCGAGGCCCGGGGGGCCGCTTCGAGGCCCGTCCGGAGGGTCCCAAAGCCCCAGATCCCGGGAGTCCGGTTTTGTGGGGTCGGGTGGGGGGTCCCGCCGCTCGGGCTTATAAACATATAAGAAGAGGAATATGTCTACATACATACATACATACATACATACATACATACATACATACGTACGTACGTACGTACGTACATACATACATGCATGCAGACAGACAGACATACAGACAGACATACATGCATACACACACACATATATATATATATATATATATATATATATAATATATATATATATATATGTAAATATAGAGATAGATATATAGACATTCATTTTACACGTCCTTCGACTGGGTGCCGTCGGTGTGGATGATCGTCTTGTTCACATCCAAATGGAGCAAGAGGGGCACGGCCTTGGCTGGTTGGCGCGCTCGCGCGCCCAACTCGACCCTAACGAGCCTTCCCCTCCTCTCCCCTCCCCTCCCTCTCCCTCGTCAGTGGCCTCTGGCGACGTGCACAAGCAATGGGCAGGGGGGTGGACGGAGGAGTGGGAGGGGAGGAGGGAGACTAGCAAGTGGAGGATGACGATGAGGAAGATGACGATGAGACGGGGTGGAAGAGAGGTGCAAAAGATCCCGCTTTCCCCTCCTTCTTCTCCGCCTTCCCCGTTCTGTCCCCTTCCCCGAACGAAAAAAAAAACCCAACACGAATCCCACTCTCTCCTCCTCCGATTAATTCCGCGTTGCTGCCTTGCAATGAACGCGTTTTCCCCCTTACCATCCTATGATATTGGGTCCTCGTTTTGAATCAGCAGCCCCTTGCGTCTCTTCCTCTTCTCTTCCTCTTCTCATCCTCGTCCTCGTCCTCCTCGTCCTCGTCCTGCTCCTCCTCCTCCTCCTCCTCTTACTCCTCCTCCTCCTCCTCCTCCTCCTTCTCCTCCTCCTCCTCCTTTTCCTCCTCCTGTGCGTATGCACCTCCTCCTCCTCCTCCTCATCCTCCTCCGTTTCCTCTTCCTTCTCCTCCTCCTCCTCCTCCTCCTCATCATCATCATCATCATCATCATCATCATCAGCATCATCATCATCATCATCGCTCCCCGCTCCTCCTCCTCCTCCTCCTCCTCCTCTTCCTCCTCCTCCTCCTCATCTTCCTCCTCCTCCTCCTCCTCCTCCTCCTCCTCCTCCTCCTCCTCCTCCTCCTCCTCCCTCTTCTCCCCCTTCTTCCTCTGCCCCCCGCATGCCAATTTCGGCGCACCCCTCACGCGCGTCGTGGCCCCACGGGGAGCTCCACCGAAAGTCCCAGTGGCAGGGTTCGCAGAGCGTCCCCCGGCCCACTTCGGCGCACCCCTCGCACCGGTCGTGGCCCCGCGGGGAGCTCCACCGAAATTCCCAGTGGCAGGGTTCGCATAGCGTCCCCCGGCCCACTTCGGCACACCCCGCGCACCCCTCGTGGCCCCACGGGGGGCTCCACCAGCCCGAGGGCAGCCCCTGGCTCGTCCTCCTCCCCCCATGGCCTCCTGATCGTCCTCCTCCCCCCGTGGAAGCTTGCGCATCCTGGCCCATGCGGGAGCCCACGACAGTCCACGAACGGATCCTCTGGGAATGAAGATCGGGGAGGCCCCACGATGCGTGCGCCTCCTCCTCCACCCCTACGGTCGGGACCTTTTGCTTCGCGTGTCGCAGCGGCGGCTCCAGCGACACGCCATCACCTGCGCGCGGAGAGCGGACGGCCAGGAGAACTCTCGAGGAGCTGGCACCCGGGGAGAGGAACGCGATTGGCGTGTCGCGGCGCAGTGCGGTGCGCCAGAACTGGTGACGTAACCCAGGATTCCTGGCCGAAATCTCCGTGAAAGCCGCTTCGTTCTTGGCGTGGCTCGACTGTGCGCATCCTCTCCACCCAAAACTCGCCCGACCTCCACGCGCGATGCGCGATGCATGGATCAACCAAGCTCCAAGTGATCCGCGGCGCAGCCCTTGGCGCGCCCCGTGGCACGTCCCGTGCCACGTTCCATGACGCGTACCCTGGCACGTCCCCTGGCGCGTCGCCTGGCACGTTCCCTGGCACGTTCCGTGGCGCGTCCCGTGACGCGTCCGCCTGGCACGACGCGAGGCGGATCCCCTGCCACATCCCGTGGCACGTCCGCTGGCACGCTCCGTGGCGCGTCCCTTTGGTACGTCCCGCGATGCGTCCTCGTGGCGCGTCCCCTGGCACGTCCCCTGGCGAGTCCCTTGGGACGCTCCGCGGCGCGTCCCCTTGGCATGTCCCGCGGCGCGTCCCGTGGCGCGTCCCTTGGCGCGTCCCCTGGCACGTCACTGCGCGGCACGGCATAGCGCAGCGGAGCACAACACAGCCCCTGGCACAGTATCATCACCATCGATATTTTCAGCATTCCATGCCCCGCAGTTCTTAATCCCTTTCCAGGTCTGTGGGTTGGTCATGCTCTAGACAGCGCAGTACTTCAAACGAGTCCGTAGAGGAGTCTCTGACATCATCCCCCTGGCGTTCCCACCAACTAACGGAATCTCGCACTATCTGACGGACTCACCCCCTCCACCTTTATCTGGCGGCGGCATGCGAAAAAATAGCCAACGACGCTCCCCATTCAGCGTGGCTGTGCCGATGCCGCCAGGTTCCGAGGTTGGCTTTCCGATCCAGGCAGGGAGAAGGAAGAAGAAGGAGGAGGAGGAGGAGGAGACGGAAAGAGGACGAGGGCGAGGGGTACTGAAGGAAGTGAAGGAGAAGGAGAACGAACGAAGGATAATGGCGTGAATAAAAGCAAAGCGTGTACGGAGTAAGCGTAATTCACCCAGCACGCCTAATGCACACAGTGCCAAACTCTTCTCATGCCGAGCTCCGGTGCCATAGTCCTCCAATGCGAAACTCCTGCGGTGCCAAACGCATCCTGTTGCCGAACTCCTCCAGTGCGAAACTCCTGCGGTGCCATACCTCTCTGGCGCCATACTCCTCCAGTGTGAAACTCTTGCAATGCCTAACTCATCTGGTGCCTAACTCATCCAATGCATCCGGTGCCTAACTCATCCGGTGCCTAACGCGTCCGGTGCCCATGTCATCTGGTGCCTAACTCATCCGGTGCCTGACTCATCCGGTGCCTAACTCATCCGTTGCCAAGTTCCTCCAATGCCTAACTCATCCCGTGCCTAACTCATCCGGTGTCTCACTCATCCGGTACCCCAACTCATCTGGTGCCAAACTAATCTGGTGCCTCATTCATCCGACTCCTACCGCATCCCATGCCTGACTCATCTGATGCCTGACTCATCTGGTGCCTGATCCATCCGGTGCCAAATTCATCCGCGCCAACTCATCCTGTGACTGTCGTCCGGGATAGCTCATCCAGTGACTAATTCATCTGGTCTAACTCATCTGGTCGCGGTTCACCCGAACCGCGGATCGGATGAGTCGGAGCGGATGCGTCGCCATTGGATGCAGTAGCCACTCTCCAAGTGGCCAGGGACGACCCGGGTGGGCCCCAACAGGAATCCGAAGTCTTCCACGGCGCCCGCAGGACAGCCGAAACGGCCCGATGGGGGCCGCACGAGGACCCAAGTGCTCAGAGATGCCAAGTGTACAAGCGCTTTTGATACGACGTCGCTGTTCTTGGGGATTTGGGCGTCGTCACCTTTTCGGCGGGCCTCCTAGATGAAGGGGCCCTGGGACACACACACATAAATGCACGCAAATAACATGATTCCCCATCTTTTCCAATAGTTTCTGGGTCTTTGTCTTCCCGCCCAATTCCCATATTGTCCAATCTTCTCCTGGGACTCGACGATCAATTGTGTCTGTGTGTTTCTTGCCCTCCTGACTATAGCTGCACACGGCAGGCCCAGACGGCGAGCGGCAACGAGTCGGGACGGCGACGGCGGCCACGAGGCTGCGGACCCGGTGCTCGGCGGGTTTCCAGCCTCGGGGTCCCTTGGGGGAGGTGGGGGTGGGTGGGTGGGTGGGTGGGTGGGTGGGTGGGTGGGTGGGTGGGTGGGTGGGGGTGCGTGCGTGCGTGCGTGGGTGGGTGGGTGCGTGGGTGCGTGGGGGTGCGTGGGGGTTGGTGCGTGGGTGCGTGGGGGTGCGTGGGGGTGCGTGGGAGGGGGGCGCCTGCACGGCCGGAGAAGGGCCGCGCGGGGACCCAAAGCGCCCAGATGTGCCCAACCCACGTGTGGTTTCTCAGAGGTTTTGAAACATTCGGGCGTCTGTACCCCCTCCTCCTCCTCCTCCTCCACCTCCTGCTCCGCCTCCTGCTCCTGCTCCACCTCCGCTTCCATATCCTCCTCCTCCTCCGCCTCCTCCTCCTCCTCATCATCCTCCATTCTCGGCTTTCTTCAGCTCCAGACGGCCCTGGAAGCTCCAACATGGCTCCAATACAACCCAAGATGGCCCCCACATGGCTCAGCAATCTTCTAAGGCGGCCTGCGCAAAAGGGCCCCAATCTGGCCCGGTAAGGACTCGAGACGGCCTTTGAGCCCCTCGACGGCCCAAGACGGTCCTCCTCCCTGTCCTCCTCCTGCTCCTCCTCCTCCTCCTCCTCCTCCTCCTCCTCCTCCCCTTCCTCCTCTGGACGGCCAAGATGGCCCCAAGACGGCTCAAGAGAGCCCCAGGACGGCCCAAGAGGGCCCCAAGACGGCCCACAGGACACCCAATACTGCCACACAGGAGCCCACGGACGGACGGAAGGAAGGGAGGAAGGCGACGAAGACGAGGAGAGAAACCCCGGCACGACGCGCATTAGTGTGCCACATGTTGCGGCTCTCCCCACCTGGACGATCACACAAGGCGTCACGCCCTCCCGAGTCCCCTCGAACGGTCGTCACCCAGCATGCTGGGCTGGCACTGCAGCGGGACTTGACGCGGGGCGGCCGGATATTCTGGGCAACGCTCTGTGTGTTGAAGACGCCGCCTCCGACGTGGGAACCCACCGGATGCCTGTCGCAATCGGCCAGTCTGACGCGGCGGCCGGCGCGCTGGCTTCCGCCAGGGGTGCCCGCGGGCCGCCCGGTGCGAGCGGCTCGGTGCGAGCGCAGCCACTCGATCCACGGCCCCGGCCGGTGGAAGTCGGAGCGCTCCCCGCTCCAAGGCCTCCGGGGCGGGCAGCGCGCTTCAGTGCGAGCGCAGCCACTCGATCCACGGCCCCGGCCGGTGGAAGTCGAAGCCGTGCCGCTCCACGACCTCCGGGGTGAGCAGCGGGGCCTCGGACCTATAGGGACACCAGCAGGCACCGGTGACGCTGCTTTCCGGACCTCTCCCGGGGTGCGTTCTGACCAGGATTGCGAGGCGGATGCAACGGTGGCCGACGACGGCCTCCGAGGAGGCCCGACAAGGGGAAGGCGGGCGAAGGGTAGCGGTGCGGGTGCCTCTTCTGAAGGGGCCCCAGGACACACAAACGAATACACACACAAATAACAGGATCCCCCACACTTTCGCGTACCCTCTGGGTGTGTGTGTCTTCCCCCCCACTTCCCACACGTTCCCCTAATGTCCCTGGGGATCGGCACTTCACTGTGCCTGCGTGCGTTTTTCCCCTCCTCTGCCCTTCCTCCTCCGAGGAGGGCCAGCGCCAGTCGCGCCCGAAGCGGGCCCGCCGCCAGGCCCACGACGAGCCGGACGGGGCCGCCGGCGGGTTCGCCGCAGACAGCACCGCGCCGCGGCGGCGCGCCAGGGCGGCCCACAGGGAGAAGCTGCTCGGGGCGCGGACGAGCACGGGGGCGTGCACCATCGCTGCGGGCCCCAGGGAGGTGCACCACCACCGCGCGGGTGCCTCCTCCTCCTCCCCCTCCTCCTCCTCCCCCTCCTCCTCCTCCTCCTCCTCCTCCTCCTCCTCCTCTCTCTCCTCCTCCTCCTCCTCCTCCTCCTCTGCCCTCCTCCTCCTCCTCCTCCTCCTCCTCCTCCTCCTCCTCCCTCCTCTGCCCTCCTCTCCCGCTCCTCGTTCCTGGAGGGAGGGGAAGGGGGGGGGGGGAGGTGTAGGGAGTTGGTGGTGGTGGTGGTGTCGATGTTTGGGCCCCGCGATCGTGGCAAAGTCGGCCTCCACGGCGTCCTCCGCGCCTGCGCCGATGAGGTCCGCCTCGAGCGCCTCCTCGGTGGTGTTGAACCACCACAGCACCCTCGCCTGGGGGAAGAGCCGCCGCAGGTGGCCCTCCAGCGCCGCGGCCACCTGCGGCTGCCTACCAAGCCACCCCAACCCAACCCGAAGATCCCAAGTTCGGGTGGGTGGCGGGGGGGGGGGGGGGCGGGCTCCACGTGTGTTTTTTTCCAACGCTCCCCGACGCCCCACCCCCCACTGGGAAAGGAATGGCCAACTGGCGCTCCGGGGGTGGGACGGAGGAGGAGGAGGAGGAGGAGGAGGAGGAGGGAGAGAGAGGAGGAGAGAGGGAGGAGGAGAGGAGGGAGAGGAGGAGGGAGGAGGGGGAGGAGGAGGAGGAGGAGGAGGAGGAGGAGGAGGAGGAGGAGGAGGAGGAAGAGTAGGAGGAGGAGGAGGAGGAGGAGGAGGAGGAGGAGGAGGAGGAGGAGGAGGAGGAGGAGGCTTGGCGAGCGGCGAACCTGCGTGCACGCGGGGCTGAGCCTGCCGCCGAAGAGCAGGAAGCGCAGGTCCCGCGCGTCCCGCCACGGCCCGGGCAGGTCCGCGTACAGCGAGAAGGCGGCGAGGCTCGAGGAGAAGAAGCACAGGGCACGGCGACAACAGAAGATTAGGAGCTGCGCGCGGGTTCTCGGTGGATCTGCGCTGGGCCCCGCCCCCGGCGCGCTCCGCGCCGACGCAGGAAGTCCGCGCGAAGCTCCGAGAGTGTACGCGCCGTTCATTTCTGATCGGGCTCATTTCTAACTGTGCTCGTCTCGACTTGCTCCTGGCCCCCCAGTGACCAGGAAGAGGCCCAGGACAGAAGAATTCGAAAGGAAGGGACCTTGCCCCCCCAAAAAATCACACAACTTTCGAAGCACTAGAAAGAATCAGTGTGTACGGCAGCGGCCCCAGCGGCACGTTAGATGCCCTGCAGCCGGGTGGCGTGCCGCTCCGCGGGGCGGGGGAGGCCTCGAACAGAGGAGGGAGGAGGAGGGAGGAGGGATGAGGAAGGAGGGAGGAGGGAGCAGGGAGCAGAGAGGAG